AGAGGAAAATTTACAGTTTCAAATGCCTACATCAAAAAGACAGAAAGATCACAAGCCAGCAATCTAATGACATGTCTCAGGCAACTAGAAAAGGAAGAGCAAAGCAAACCAAAAGCCAGCAGAAGAAAATAAATAACTAAGATCAGATCAGAACTAAACAAAGTGGAAAACAAACAAAAATATATAAAGGATCAATGAAACAAAAAGGTGGTTCTTTGAAAAGACAAAATTGATAGACCTCTTGCTAGATTAACCAGGAATAGAAGAGAAAGGATCCAAATAAGGTCAATCAGAAACGGAAAAGGAAATATTACAACTGATACCATAGAAATACAAAATATCATCTGTGAATACCATGAAAATCTCTACAAATATAAAATTGAAAGCATAGATGAAATGGAAAAATTCCTGGATATAAACAACCAACAACTTCCCAAGACTCAATCAGGAAGAAATAGAACTCCTGAACAGACCAATAACCAGCCATCAGAATGAAGCAGTAATACAAAATCTTTCAACAACAAAAAAAAGCCCCAGATCAGATGGATTCACAGCTGAATTTTACCAGACCTACAAAGAAGAGCTGGTACACATGCTGCAGAAACTATTCCATAATATAGACAAGAGGGAATCCCCTCCTATTTATTGTATGAAGCCCGTGTCACCTGATGCCAAAGTCAAGAAAGGACATAACAAAAATGGAAAACCACAGACCAATATCCCTTATGAATATAGATGCAAAAATCCTCCAAAAGATACTAGCAAACCGAATTCAACAGCACATCAAAAAATAAATAAATAAATAATCTACCATGACCAAGTGGGCTTCATCCCAGGGATACAAGGTTGGCTCAACATATGAAAATCAATAAATATGATTCACCACATAAACAGAAGCAAAAATAAAGACCATAGGATCATTTCAATAGATGCAGAAAAATCATTTGAAAAAAATCAGCATCCTTTCATGATAAAAACCCTCAACAAACTCAGCATAGAAGGAATGTATCCCCAAGTTGTAAAAGTCATGTATGACAAATCCTCATCATCATTATATTGAATGGGGAAAAATTTAAAGCATTCCCACTAAGAATTGGAGAAGGTAAAGGTGCCCACTGTCACCACTTCTATTCAATATAATGCTGGAAGTTCTAGCCAGGGCAATCAGGCAAGAGAAAGAAATAAAGGGTATTCATATCAGGAAAGAGGAAATCAAACTACTGCTCTTTGCTGATGATATGATCTTGTGTCTAGAAAACCCCAAAGTCCCTCCAAGAGACTCCTGGAACTGATAAATAAATTCAGCAAAGTCTCAGGTTACAAAATCAATGTACATAAATCAGTAGTATTCCTATGTACTAATAACAGTTAAGCTGAGCATCAAATCAAAGACTCAATACCATTCACAATAGCCACAAAGAAAATACAACACCTAGGAATATACTTTAGAAAGGAGGTGAAAGATCCCTACAAAGAGAACTATGAAACACTGAGGAAAGAAATCGCAGATGACATAAACAAATGGAAAAACATATCATTCTCATAGATCAGTAGAATCAACGTTGTTTAAAATGTCCATACTATCCAAAATGATTTATAGATTCAATGCAATCCCCATCAAAATGCCAATATCATATTTCACAGAAAAACTCTTCTAGATATTGGCTTAGACAATAAATTTATGAAAAAGACCTCAATGACAATGACAGCAACAAGAAAAATAAATAAATGGGACTTGATTTAATTTAAGTAAAGCTTCTGCACAGCCAAGAAAATTATTAACAGAGCAAATAGATGACCTATAGAATGGGAGAAAATATTTGCAAGCTATACATCCACTAAAAAGGGATAATAACCAGAATCTACAAATAACCAAAGCAAATCAGCAAGAAAAAATTAAACAACTCCACTAGAAAGTGGGCAAAATACCTGAACAGAAGCTTCTCAAAAGAAGATAGACAAATGGCCATTAAACATATGAAGAAGTGCCCATTGTCACTAATCATCAGGAAAATGCAAACCAAAAACCACAATGAAATATTGCCTTATCCCCGTCAGAATGGTTTTTATTAAAAAGTTCAAAAACAATAAAGGCAGGCTTGGATGCAGACAGAAAGAAACACTTATACACTCTTGGTGGGACTGCAAAGTAGTACAACCCCTATGGAAAAGAGTATGCAAATTCCTCAAAAAACTAAAAGTTGACCTACCATTTGACCTAGCAATCCCACTACTGGGTATTTACCCAAAGAAAATAAGTCACTTCTTCAAAAAGACACCTGCACTCAAATATTTATTGCAGCACAATTCACAATTCCACAATGTGGAATCAACACAAGTGCCCATCAATTTCATGAGAGAATTAACAAAATGTGGTATATGTATAGTATGGAGTACTACTCAGCCATGGAGAAGAATGAATTAAGGCCTTTTGCAATTTGGATGGAACTGATTTTATAAACATGCATAGAATCTCAAACCCAATGATTAAAAGGTACATATCATAAACAGAAATTTTATGAAAAATCATCACTTGTTAGTTTATAAATCAAGTCTCAAATATTTTTGACATAAGGTCCCATGCAGATTATCTCTAACCACAACGCAAAAGATGTAAAAAGTATGAAGTAATTTCTTAACCTAAAATGTCAACATATATACAAAACAAAAAAACACATTTCTAAGCAACTTATGAGTCAAAGGAAAAAAAGTAGTGGAAATTAGGCCATTATAGACCAGTTTAAACCAATGCCTTGATATTAAAAATATTAGGAAACAAAGAGACCCAGAGTAGTTAAATAACTTGCTCACAGTCAATTGTAAGTTGGTAGCAAATAAGAGAACAGCAGAGTGTAGGTGAGAACACAAGGACTTAGGGCACAGGCAATGTGATCAGACTAGTTTCTAATCCCTCATTATTTACTAACTGTGTTACCTCAGACAAGTGTAGATATCTCTCCTAACCTTTGTTTTAATTAAGATAATAATACCTCCTTTGGAGACTTATTTTGAGAGTAAATTGAGAAAATGAATATAAAAGCCTAGGAAGGTGTTGAGAAAGGGAAACTGCCTTAGCAGACCCAGAAAATATGGAACAGTTGCCAGTGATCCAGATCGAGCCGGGGTTTAAAGAGCCCGGTCCGAATTAGAAGTATGGTGGGACAGAAAATCCAGTAAGCAGAAAACAAGAGCATCTCCTGGAATGAAATAGACCCAGACATGCAGAGGCAAGGCAAGCAAGGCAGATGGCCTTAGAGCTGGGAAGGTAGCCTGCACCCAACATTCCCATGGGAACCATGGGACCAAAAAGCAGGACAAACAGAGCAGCCACAAGCCTACTGGTATCAACACCAGCCCTCCCTGAGAGCTTCAAGGACATGGGGGTGGTTGCAGCATTCTCCATTTGAGCTCCCCCAGAGAACTTGGACATTAGGCCTTCTTGTGGTAATTGTAAGGGGAATTATTCATAATTTTTATACTTATGGAAAGGTAACCTTCTTAAGCCAAATAAATGTCTTCCACATAATACCAAGTATAGTGTATTCAGTGGATAAATTTGTTTATTTGTAAATTCAATAAACTGTTTCTGGAACCCCTTCTATGAGCTATAAATGATGTTAGATACATAGGAACTCAATACCAGTTGCTTGATTAGCATTGCCCTCTAGGAATCTTTTCAGCCAACTTCACCAAAAAAACATTAAGGGCTAAGTTAGCTGTTCATTGGTATCATAATACTGTGTAACAAACAACCACCAAATATCAGCGGCACACAACAATAAACATTTATTTTGGTCACAAATCTATGGGGTGGCTGGTGGTTCTTGTGCTCTGCTCTGGGTTCAGCTAATCTCAAATGAGCTTGCTCATGCATCAGCAGTTAGCTGGCAGATTGACAGATCTAGGATGTCCTTGAGTGGGAGGACTCAGCTCTGCTCCATGGGGTCTCCCATCTTCCAGCAGGCTAACTTAGGCTTGTTCACACAGTGAGGAGGCATCCAAGAGACAGTACAGAAGTAAACAAGGCTCAGGCTCAGAATTTGCAGTGTTCTATTGGCGAAAGCAAGTCATAAGGTCAGTCAAGCTTCAAGGAGTCTGAAAACAGGGCCCACCTCTTATTGAGAGAAGCTACAAAGTCACATTGCAAAGAACAAGGACAGAGGGAGGCGTGGAGAATTTGGAAACATTTTTGCAATCAACCTACCTCAAGAGCTAAATTGACTCCTTGGCAGGAGCTACAATGGGAATGGAGTAGAAATCAAAATGGATGTCTTGTTAGAACAGAGAGTATTCCCTTAAAATGATGCATGTGTTTTCCCTTAAGAGAAAAACAAGGGTCAGATACAAGGGACCAAGTTGATAGATGAAATAATAATTGATAAAAAGAAGTATAAAAACAATTGCCGAAATTTCTTGAGCTGGAATGAATCTAGCTTTAGACTTCAAAGTTTGAATCAAATCATTTAGCATAGAAAGACAACATTTCTAAAGCCCAACTTGTATGGGTTGGGTACAGAACAAAATAATGACAAATAAATGAATGTGAATGGCACCATATATTAGGTAAATATTCTAATTTAGACTGCATAGTTCCATTTAAATAATAAGAATCTTTTAAGGAACACCCCTTCCAGTGCAGAAAATGAAGTCTCTGCTTTTTGATGGTGTGTCTAAATTATATAATAAGGCTAGAATACCACATGTTATCCAGTTTTTATGAATGCAAGTAGCTTTTTGTATTGTATGTTTGGTACAAAGAAAGATAGTATTTATTACAGCATGGAAGAGTGGAGGTAGAAATCCTTACAAGCATAAAACAGAATGAGAAAATGTAATTTTCACTTCCAGCACACTGAAAGATAACATTATAAACACTCTTGAAGATGCTGTCAACCATCTATCTAAGAACCAGGATTCCAGAAAGATCGATCTGTACATTAAAGAAGTAAATTTTAACCGATTAAATAGCACATTTAAAGTTCCTAATAAGCAAGACTTACATTTGAAGGAACAAATTAAAACATCTTTCTTTAGAGCCATAAAACAACATTTCATGAGATATTGCTTGAAACTTTGCCTGACTCCACATCTGAAATAAATAAAGGTTACAAAATAAAAGTTATTTTAAAAGAAAAGCTGAAAAAACTCCTTTTAGAGACAACAGTAAACTATATTATTGGCAGAATCAGCAACTTAATTAAAAGTCTGTTAATGCTGGTGTTAATAAACCTGGCATATTTTCAATTTATATTGACACTATTCAAACTGATACTTGTCGGTACTATGTCACAAAATCTGGATGAGAACATTGGCTATATAAATTAAGCTTTTTATTACTTGAAAATATTGGACGCTATTACAGATGTTCTGTAATCAAATTATATTTTTTTCATAAAAATGTTCTCCATAGGAAGCCAAGATGAAATAATGGGCTGTTTACGATTTACCTTCTGACTAGAGAAAAACCACCAATGCATTTGGAGGGATATGTGCACTGTCTAAATTTCAAAATTGAATAATTGATTTATTACTTTCATTCCTTAAGCAAATATTTTTTGAGCTCCTCTTATGAGCCAGGCACTTTAAGAGGGGTTTTGTAAGAGTTTTGTAGGGGTTGAAGAAAATGTGGAACAAGGGACAAAGATGCCACTGGCATGTAGTTTACATCTTAGAGATTTTATTATTAGAATTTGGTGTGTCTTATTAAAGAATGACTGGCCTACTGTAGTGACACAGTAGCTTATTGGAGAGCTGTGATGACCCAAAATGGAGATAGATGTTCAAGTGTCTCTCAAGAGTTGTATCAGAGGAACCCCTATGTCAGGCACCACCTCCTTGCCTCTCAAAAATGAGACAAAAATGTCTTAACCCCCCACCAATTCCTTTGTTTTCAGAAGTTCAAAGTGCTGTCTAAGGTTTGAGGGATGAGAGTGGGAGACGATGGCTTGCATAGTCAGAGTCAGCACAAGTTTCACACTCCTGAGTTTTAGAAGATTGTTCTGTTTCACTCATCTCACTATATGAAACTCAGTCCTGTCTTATTTTCCACAATCATGAGCATTATTTTCTAAAACTGCTTGTTTTTTTCACTTTTTCTCAAGGCACACTGGCCTACTTTCTATTTCTTAAACACACCAGACTGACTTGTGCTGCAGAGGCCTTTACACCTGCTGGCCCTTCTGCCTAGAACATGGCTCTGCCAGACATCTGCATTAATTGCACCCCCACTTCATTTGGATCACCACTGAAACAGCACCTCCTCTGACCACCCCTCTAGAGTAATACACATACAGCCCCCTCACTCTCTACCTCAATACTGTTTGACAGTAGCCAACATGTGGTATATTAATTTACCTGTTTACTCTCTCTCCAACTGGAATGTGAGCTCCATGAGATCACAGACCCAAATGTGATCAGTAGTATAACCTCAAAGCCTAGAACATGCTGAGAACATAAAATTTGTTTAATTAAAATTTGTTGAATGAATAGATGAGTAAAAAAACACATGGAAAAATAAATGAACATACGTTTAACAGACTTTGTTGGGAAGTTCTGGGCTAAAATGAATGAGGAGCTCAAACTACGGCAAAAGACACTTAAAGAGAGTTATGAGCATCTACACTCTTAAAAATGCCCTATGGCCACTCACTTTCCTTTCCCTTTGAGATTCAAAACAACAAACTCTTGCTCTTGTTCTATAGATGAATTCCTCCTCCCTTCCTTAGAAGTTCTGGCACCAAGTCACACCCAGACTCCCTAAGGACTCACCTCTGGCCAGATACTTCTTGATGTATTTTTCCAAAGACAATTCTTTCCTATAGAGGAAATTACTTAGTACCTACTATCTAAAAGTTAAGATTTTCTCCACCTCATTACATCATTAATTAAAAGCAGTGCAAAATCAAAATTGTGAGTTAATGTTATCCCAAATAGAAACTATTTATCTGATTAAGAGGTATAAATCAAAGACTACCCTAACCTTACCTATATTTACAGCTTACATTTTTTCTGGCAGAAAAACCACAGCTAGATCAGCCTAAGACAGTGAGGATAGTAAATAAGACCCCAGGGAGGATTACTATTACCAACCATGGTGCAATGGGACTGGTGGGTGAGAGGTAAAACAACAGTGCTTCTTTGTAATGATAAAGCAGCTCTGTGTCTTGATCATGTTTGCATGAATCAACACATGAGATAAAATTACATAGAACCACATACGCACACACACACACACACACACACACACACACACACAAAGAAATGAGTGCATGTAAAAATTGGCAAAGTCTGAATACTACTCAGTTTTGCATAATATTGCAAGAATGTCAGTTTTCTGGTGTTGATACTATCCTGTAGCTATGTATGATATTGCCATTGGGAGAAGCTGGGTGAAGAGTATCCAGGGCTTTCTGTATTATTTTTGCAACCTACTGTGAGTCTGTAGTTGTTTCAAAAGAAAAAGTATAAACTAACAAAAAAATGCAAAGTATCTGCAAAAAGGAGCTATTGCAGACCTCGATTGTTATTTCAAAGATAAATATATGGTCAGTCAAGAAATTTACATTTTTTTTGGAAAAAATAGTTTAATTTCATTGGAGATTACAAATGCAATGTCAACAAAATTGATACTGTTTTATGAGTTTCCCCAGGATGTAAAAAAAATATTGATTAACAAACTGCCAAAACCCATGCCATGTTAAGACTTTTAAAAATAAAACAAAACAATTGATGCTGTCTAATACCCCACATATCAACATACTCACAAGCTATATAAACTCTTTTATGTTTTATCTTTTAGAGACAGGGTCTCACTATGTTGCCAGGCTGGTCTCCAACTCCTGGCCTCAAGCAATCCTCCCACCTCAGCCTCCTAAGTAGCTGGGACTACAAGTGTGGGCCAGGATGTCCCACTAATTTTTTTTTCTAATTGTTTTTATAAAGACAGTCTCATTCACTATTTTGCCCAGGTTGGTCTTGGCTCTTGGCCTCAAGCGAGTAGCTGTGATTACAGGTGAAAGCCCCTACGCCTGGCTATATAAACCCTTTTAAATCACCAGAACTTTTCTTCAGTGGCAATAAGGGTTTAGTCTCTGCAATGTCACAGCTACGTTGTAATGTGATTTCTCTAAATTCAGATATTGCTCCTGAAGAGTGATAGGGGTATTTCTCACTGGCAAGGACCTAAGACACTCCCAGACTCAGCTTAGTTCTGCATTTGAGTTTGAAATGGTTCTGGCTGTTTGGATATTTTATGAATTCCAGTACACCATGGTTGGTAATAATAATCCCCCCATGTGCTCTATGAACTGGGCATTGTCAGGCACTGCAGCATGAAAATGAGTCCCTTGTGATTGCGAATGAACTGCGTCTTTTCTTCCCCTACAGAGTTCCCTAAACTAAAAAGGCCTTCCTTCACTGAACCTGCATTTAGTATAATCACATTTTAGGGTGCAGAGGAAAAGGTTAGGGATTATGTGTCAAACACTATGCTAAATGTCTTCTACACATCATACCTACCCTATGGCTCAGATAAAAAAAGTACAATTTTTTTCCAATGGAGGATATACAGATTTAATCGGATAGGATGTAGCCAAACCTGACTTCCCTATACAGGCCCAAGGATATGTTCTCTTTGAGAAAAGTGGCCACAGGTGGTTCCTTCCTGACAGCCTTCTTTTCTTTGTGTTCTATGGACATGATACACAGCTCATTGGACCATGAATTCATGATGTATTAGTAACATAGAATACCATCTCTGGTGTTGAGGCTACTACAAATGTGAAGTTTGGTTGACTCTGATGCAGATCAAATAGAGATCCTGAGCTCAAAATAAGAGAGTTCAACTGCCTATGGATAAGGTATGAGAACTCTGACCAATTGTACTAGTATTAGGTGGTGACTAAGTGACTCAATCAGATCCTCCTTGTGAGTGCAAGACACACAAGAAGAAACAGAAAAAAGCTAAGTCCCAAGAATCACATAGTCTTCAGGCAAAAGATCAATGACCACAAACTGCTAAAAGAACATAAGGATAGCTGGATTTCTAGAGATACTCTTGAATCATGAATTGTAATGATTGACACTCCAGGTTTCCAAAGTCTAGTTGTCTCATTATTTCTAGTGTCCCTTACTGTAAGTCCTTTCCTATTATTTTTATAAACAGGAGTTTTTCTGCAATTGGAGAATACATACAGAGAGAAGGTTCTTGAAGTTAAGAAGTATAAATCAAAAGAACAGCCTTCTATATAGAATTTAAGAAAGCCTATCATATTCAAACAATGTAATGTTCAATAGCAATAAATGTCCAAGATTATAAAATTATACATTTGTTTTTATGCAGGGTAAAAGTTTAACTTTTAAGAAAACTAATTTCAAATTTAAAAGTTACAAGAAGAGCTCTCATGGACGCTTTATCTAGATTCACCCAATGTTGACATTTTGCCACACTTGCCTGATCATTCTTGCTTTAATTGTGTATATGCATACTGTTTTTGCTGATCCGTTTGAGAATAAGCTGTCAATATCATTCCCTGTTACTCCTTGATAATTATTATAAATTTCTTAAACAATAATATTCTCCTCATATAACCACAATGTACCTATATTTATAAAATTTTACATTGATACACTATTATTATTTAATCTATAGTCAATATCCCAGTTTTACCAACTGTTCCAATAATATCTTTATAGAAAGTTTTTCTGGTTCAATATCTAATTCAAAATCACACAATGCATTTAAGTTGTTCTGTCTCTTAGGGCTCCTTTAATCTATAACAGTTCTTAAGCCTTTTCTGTTCTTCCATGACATTGACATTTTTAAGATTATAGGCCTTTTCTTTTGTAGAATACTCTTAATTTTGGCTTATCTGATGTTTTCTCATGATTAAATTAAAGTTACACATTTTTGGCAGGAACATTAGATATGTGATGTTTTATCATTCTTAATGCATCACATAAGGGACAAATGAAGTAAATTTGAAAATCAACACTTTTACAACCATCATGGTAATACTTGACACAAACAAAAATTATCAGTGGATAATAAGTTAGTGCGTAAAATTTTTATGAGAAACAGAATATTAACACAATCTCAAATACCTCTGTATAAATACTTATTCATTATAAAATGAGAAATAACAGCTTTGTAATGGAGAAAGCTGGTGCATAGCACCTTAACAAAGTTATCAGTATCACTTACTCTTAAAGATAATAATTAAGTACATAGGAGATTCCTTGAATATGTTTCTTGTTTTATTTTCTAGCGTCTACATGGAAATTACATACGGAAATGAAAACTAACAAGAAGGGGTAGTGAGACAAAATACAGCAGCAAAGAAATAGCACCTTCCTTTCACATAAATCTTAAGTAAATGGATCTTATAAGGTGAGATATTTCTACATTGAGTTTCTGGACTAACTAAAAATAAGCACCTAGAAGCCTTCGCCTCAAAGAGATAAAGGAGTACAAAGATAGCCAAAAGGCCTGTAAGTAATGGCTATCACTGCAAAGCCAAAAGACCATGGCAAGATCTGCAGGTGACATTGCATTTCAATAGAAATAGCATACAACTGTTTAACAAATACTTATTATCTTTTATGTGCTGAAAAATAGAATAGTCTTGAGAAGCCAAAGGGGAGTGAAACATAAACCCTGTCTCCTAGATTTTAACCTTCGGTAGAGAGTGTGTACTGGAACATTGGAGGTGGAAGGAGGGAGGCAATATTATAGGCGTCAAAAGTCAAGTGTCCAAGATGATAAAGAATCCAAAGAGACTTCATAGAGAAGGTAATAGTTGAGCTGGTCTATTGAAGAAATTGATCACAGTTCAATGTTAACTAATTACTCTTCTCATGATACTTCATGAGCAACTATTATGAGCCCTTATCCTAATCAATTTACATGTGTTAACCCATATAATTCTTATAGCAACCTAAGAGGTAGATACTATTATTAATATCTATTTTACAGATGAAAGTGCTAGAAGAGTGAGATGGAGTAAAGGAGTGTTGTGCCTAAAGTTTTAATCGAGAGTCACATTATGGAAAGATACATACCCCATGCTTTATCCTGCAGTCTGTAAGGTACTGTAGATTGTTTAGAACAGAAGTGACATGCCTAGATTTGTTTTCTAGAAGTTTATTCTGGCAGCTCTGTGAGTGGTGGATGAGAGTTGGACAAGGCTGGACATAGAGAAGCAAATAGGAAAGAGAGGAGTCAGTGAGGAGACAATTGCAATAGACCTAGCGAGGTAAGAAGAGGACATGAACTATGGCAGAAGACTAGGGGTGCAGAGGATGGTTTGATATAAGAATAATGTCAATGGGAATAGTGATTGATAGGATATAAGGACCAGGGCAAGCAATGGAGGAATTTATGATTGCTTCCAGGATCTGGTTTAATTTAATGAATGGTTTCTAGCTTAGTTAATTGATGCCAAGGTTGTTGGTTCAATGCCCATTAGCTTACATTCATCTCTAATCACAGACCACATCACTAATCCAACTTCAATTATAAGAGGCACTAGGTGAGGCTTTGGATGCTTCTGGACAAATCACTGCATCTGATAAGGAGGAACATCCAAAATACATATGAAAATGTGATTGGGTCTGTCACATCAATAGAATGATCTTATATGGAGTGTAGCAAGTGTCAGAAGGTCTTCTGAGCCATACATTCTCCTACCTTTTTCCAGAAAATCCTTTAAAGATTTTTGTATAATGAAAATCCTTGGAAGATGCAGATAGCATTTCCTTCCAGAGCAAAAAGATAGGTTTGCTTTTAGCCTTGGAAACTAGGATCTTCCTTCAGAGTTAAAGGGTAGATGTGCTTATTGGTCATAATAAAAATACAGGTTCCTAAGCTCAGGGCTGTTCTACTGTAATGCAACCTACTACATCTACCTAGGCCCATTTGTGTTGCCCTTGTGGGACTTGAGAACATAGGCAACTGACACATGCATGCTGTGCCATGCATAATGAAGTTCTCCATCTCTGACCCAGAGAGGCTCATGTTTTCTGCCAGCATCCATGAAATTGTGGCAGGCTAACTTATAAGGTTTTAAGTAAGATAAAGTCACAGACATTTCACAGTTCTTGATGGAAATGTACTCAGGATTCCCAATTGTGGTGTGCTCAATGTGAAACAATGACCAAATTGAGCAGTTTTTGAGTTTAGATAATTATAAATTCTTTTTTTTAGCCTTCTCTAAGACCATATCCCTATATCCAGCCAAGAATCTTGCCTAAGATTTAAATAAACTCACTTTCTTGGTGATTGACTCCAATTTTCATAATTTTTGAGTAGAAGTGATAATGATGAGCAAGTTTGACCTGTAAGAAATCTTCGCAGAAAAACAGGAAATGATGGCAATGCTCAGATGTCTATTTCAGGATTCACTGGTGGAGACTTTCCTTCTTTTCTAAAGGAACAAACCCCCTGGGGGTCTGAGGATGACTTAGAAAGTGCAAAAATATCTTACTTTGAGATTAAATGTACAATAGATGTTAACTGATATGAATTTTTTCTGTATTTCAGCTAAAATACAGAGATATTAAGCATGAAGACTTGATTTTGAATTTCTTAGCCATATTATAGGTGTAACAGGGTGATGAGAACTGAGACTAGACTTGCAGAATGTTTGAAACTTTAATGAGTTCATTTGGGAAAACTGACATTTAAAGGTTATAAGGCACTTCTACCTTTGATGAGGTAGGGACTGGACCTTATTTTTAAAGCCAACTGACCTTTTGCTTGGGGAAAACGACCTCCATGAGCTTTTTAGTTGTACAAATGTAGAGAAAGATTTCTGAAATACAGAAATTTGAGAAGGGCACCTCTGAAAGGCTACACTTTTGTGAGAAATGATGTGAAACTTATTTTTATATTAGTAAGGATGCATCTCTCAGATTAGGTTTTTAAAAAATTGATAAAATTTATTTTTAGAGCAGATTTAGGTTTACATAAATATTGAGCAGAAAATAGGGTTCTTGTATACCCCCTCAGCCCTCCACACACACAGTTCTCTCTATTATTAATATCTCTCATTAGTGTGGTATATTTGTTACAACTGATGAGCTAATATTGATGAGCTAATATTAACTAAAGTCCACAGTGTACCTTAAGTTCACTCTTACCATTGTACATTCTATGGTTTTGACAAATGTATGATGATATTTTTCCATCAGCACAGTTTCATACAGAGTAGTCTCACTGCCCTAAAATGTCCTCTGTGCTCCACCTATTTATCCTTTCCTCCCTTCTGATCTCTGGCAACTACTGATCTTTTTACTGTCTTCATAGTTTTGCTTTTTAGAGAATGTCATATATATATTTGGTTTATAAAATAGCCTTTTCAGATTGGCTTTATTCACTTAGCATTATCCATTTAAGTTTTCTCCATGTCTTCCTGTGGTTTAATAGCTCATTTCTTTTTATCACTGAATAATATTACATTATCTGGGTGTACCACAGTTCATTTCTTCATTCACCTATTGAAGGACAACTTGGTTAATTACAAGTTTGGACAATTACAAATAAAGCTGCTATCAACCCCCCTGTGCAGGGTTTTGGGTTCATTTGGGTAAATACTAAGGACTGTGATTACCGGACCATATAGTATTTTTAGTTTTGTAGGGAGCTGCCATATTTATCTTCCAAAGTGGCTGTATATTTTGTATTCCCAACAAATAGATTATTTTTTAGGTATTGATTTAGATTGCCATATATCTGTATTTTATTGCTTTTCCTTAGGAGGTGAGAATGTGTATGTGTGTGTTTTCAAACAATTATTTCCATAGGATTAGGATCAGAGACTCTAAGACAGCTGAAATATATTGTGGTAGGCAGAATGAGCCCCCCCGCCTCCCAAGATGTCTGTGCCAGAATCTGTGAATATGCAACGTTATGGTACATGGTAAGGAGAAATTAAGGTTAAAGTTGCTAACCAGATGATAAAGAGAATACCTTCAACTATTCAGGTGGGCCCAATATAACTGCAAGGGACCTTTAAATGTGGAAGAGGAAGGCAGAACAGTCAGAGTTATAGCGATGCACTGTGAGAAAACTGGTTTTAAGATGGAAGTGAACCACAAACCAAGAAATGCAGGCAACTTACAGAAGCTGGAAAAATCAAAGAAACAGATTGCCCTCTAGAACCTACCAACACCTTGATGTTAGCTCAGGGAACTCCATTTTGGATTTCTGACCTCCAGAACTGTAAGATGATAAATTTGGAGAGTGAGCACTAATTGGGTGTAGAATTTCTTTTAGGGGATAGTGAGATTGTCTTAAAATTGGACAATGGTGATGGTTGTACAACTCTGTGAGTTAAAGACCGCTAAATCATGTATGTTAAAAAGGGCACATTTTATGGTATATGAATTATATCAAATTATATCTCAATAAAAAGCTGTTAGTATTAAAAGATGGTATGACCTACCTTTTGAAAAATGTACTAATGATCAGTTACTGAATTCTCATGTGAGTTGGAGATAGGATTTTCCCTGGGAGAAACAGACAGTGGAATTTCCCACTTGTAACCATTTGGGAGGCAGGTCTTGGACTGTGGTGAAAGAAAAACTGTTTTCTTTCTTCTGGCCTTCACGTTGTTGGGAACTTGGAATCTGGGTGTATCTGTCAAGATAGGTTAAGTTACAGCACAGAAAAACAAAATCAAAACTAAAATAACACCTAAATTTGGCGACTTTTAAGTTTATTCCTTGCTCATCCTTGATATCATTTCAGGTCAGCAGGGGCCTTTATTCCAGGTCTTCTTCCCCTGGACCCCAGGTTGATGGTATAACCATCATTCCAAAAATTTCTGGGCTCACGGCAGAGGGAATCAAGCCTTGAGGTCTTGCACCAGAAATTATATGCTGTAGCCTGGATACAACACAAGCTATTTCTACTCACTGGTCACAGCTAGTCACACCCTCCACCCAAAAAAAGGAAGTCAGGTAAGTGCAGTACTACGGTTGCCCAGAAGGTTATAAATTGAAAGTATTTGGTGACTATCATCAAATAGTAGTAAACTGTAGTATCAACCTACTACAGTAGGTTGAATAATAGCCCCCAAAGATATCAGGTCCTAGTTCCTGGAACCTGTAAATGTTTATTAAATCATTTAGTAAGTAAATATTATGAGAAACTATTAAGTACCAGGCATCGTTGCAAGTATGGGAACATAACCATAAACAAAACAGAGTAAGTCCCTCCACTCTCATGAAGCTTCCTTCTAACATCAAAAAATTAAAAGGTAGAAGCAAAGATAGCTTTTTCTCACCCATATCACTTTTAACCATGAAGAAAAAAATATTTCTCAGAAGTCACCAAACTACTCCTTCACAGGTTAGAATTATGTCACATGACTAACCCTACCTGCAAAGGTAGCTGGGAAAGCATATCTCCAAAATTGTAAGCTTTTATCATGACAGGACGGTTTTGCTATAAGAAAAAAGAGGTAGAGGAAATAGCTGCTGCATAGACAACCAACGGTGTTTCCTGCAAACAGTGCCAATTGTATATAGTTGTTTAATATCTGGTTTTCAATAAAGCATTAAGGTTGACAATTATTGCTCCATGGCTAAAATTTAATATTTATTTCTGATTATTTTTGTTCCCTATGCCATTTCTAAAAGCCTTGATCACACAGCAGCTCTGACATTATAACAAACATGCTTTGGAAATTTACCGAGAAATGCTGGCTTGCTCCCAGGACTGAGTGATGGCATTTAATTTGCTCACCTGGAAAAGAACTACAACTCTAGAAAAGGCCATTTCTCTTTGTATTACTTATTGGTCATCCAGCAACCTTTAGGCCAAAGCTGTGAATATATATATTTTGTCAGCCTTCTCTATGTGTTCTTCAGGAATGAGCCTAAGTCTTAAACTTCTTTTGTCCAGGGTAACTGCAAGACCAGCTCCAGACCCTTCACTCCACTTCTCCGTGGGCAAAAAAACAGCAGTTCCATCACCGTTGTCCAAATGGCAAATGAGAAGTGATGTCTGAGTACAAGGTACTATCTGGAAAAGAAAAGAAAGAGGCAGCTCTTCTGACAGAGCTGTTCACACTTTTCCTGCACAGCTGGGAGACATTAGCTGAATTTCCCCAGACTAGTCTGCTTTCTGGCACGGTAAGTTAAAAACCCCGAGAGCCTCCAAGGTAAGCTGGATTTCTATCATACACATTTAGCAGCTAAATCACCAAAAGTCACTTTCAAAAATTCACGCAAAGCTGCATCTTTACCCAAGGTCAAGAGTTCAATAGAAGTTAGCAAAAAAGGAAATTGTGGGCAGATGGCAAGAAAAGATTAAGAAAATATTGATAGGTCATCTCTGTTCAAAAGCTGCTTTCATTTTGAGGGAATTTGTGCTCAGGAAAGTAGATAAAAGGTAGTTTTTCAATAAATAACATGGAATATATATTAGAAGAGCAAAATATATTTCTATGTATGTCAATACATAAATAATATTTCTGAGTATTTCGATTTCCACTCCTGCACCACAGTAAGTGGATGTGAAGAGGGTTAGATAGGCCAGAGGAGCTATGAAATTTGCAGTAAGCATTTGAAATTTTTTAAGCAAATAACCCACATTTTAGGATGCTTTCTTCACCACACATATATTCAGTAGTCTGATCTGCTTCTCTCAAAGGCTGACAATTGGTTTTACAAAAAAGTTATATATAAAACCTGTTTTTAAAAATATGTTGTAGTAAAATATCCAGTTTCACTATGGCTTTTGTCAAAGCTATCTTGAATAAGATGCCCGAAACATTTCCTGTGGAGATATCTTAAATCTTGTGTTATTTGGAGACAGAAAATGTAGAAAAATTAAAACAGCACCTAAGAATAGAAGAGGCTAGATTCTGGTCTCATCTTATGACTAATTAACAGCAAGATTTTGAGCATGTCATTTAACTATGGGCCTCAAAGTCTTCTCCCCTTTCTCTTAATGAGAATTTAGTTATAAAAAATTTATTTTTCCCAGTACTTAATGACTTACTATCAGCTTTTGATTCCATGGAAAGGGATTATCTCTGGACATTTCATTTATATTCCTCCTTATTACAGAAGGAATTTTGGGTTGCTTTATGAGCCAACTTATATGACTTTGGTGTAGATCTCAGATTTTAAATGTTTATCTAAATCAATATGGCAATACCAGAATAGATTTTGAAAGTGTCACTTCTAATTTTAAATGGCTTAAAACAGAATTGTGTCTAGACATCTTTGTTTATAACTTATACCTAAATAATTTAATCCTGCTTACTTAAAAGATCTATATATTCCCTCCTATATATATGCCCCAATATATATAAAAATTTAAAGACAAGTATCCGACCCTATGTTGATGAGATAATCTTACTATTATAAGAATGACCTCAAAAAATAATGGAACCTACTGGCAAGCTGCCAATTTGAATAAAAAGAAAAAGGAATTCCATCCCAAAGAGACCATACATTTTGAATTTAGATCTGTGGTTTCTCTGTTTTCTAGAACTTGGGGATCCCCAGGGTAAGTCTAGAGAGATGCAGAAGAGGCAAGTGGATATGGCTCCAGCCCACCTGACCCCAAAGAGGAGTATTTTTGTTGGTGGTGTTTTTATTTATTGGACTTCTACATAAACTTACTTCAAAGAAAGGAACTTCTTGATAAAAAAAAAGTCTGATCAAGGTGGAAAAAGGTAAACCAGGAGCCATTGGAGTAAATCTTGCACATGGATTTTTTTCCCTTAACATCATTAAATGTTTAAAATGTGTTGCCAATATTTTAAAACAAGCCATTTTACATAAAAATATGGATTTCTTGGTCCCTGACAATTGAGGAGAACTGAAAGCACTAAGATCATATTCCCACAGATGACAATCAACTGAAGCTAGGTACTGGCTGTCCCCCAATTACATACTTTCTAACTCACCATGTCCCTAGTACTGTCTAGTTTTATCTGTCTAGATGTATTCACATATTTACTTCACTTTTCTTACACCTGGGGGAGCTTAGAGGGATTACCCCGGATCTACATATATCTCAAGACCATTGCCTTCTGGTATGTGGACTGGAAGGTCTTCCTCCTCAAAATTAAACTTTTTGACTTATCCAGAAAGTCTTAAGTGACAGAATTCAGTAGCTTCAACCAAGGGCTTTTTCAGCATTTGGACAGATCCAAGGAATTCACCCTGCCTTATCTTTTGGGTAGCTTTTTGTAAGGACGAGCTGCTTCTCTCTGGGAATAATTTCAGGTCAAACCTGGAGGGCATAATTTTTCTCATCATGTAGCTAAGGCAGGTTGATTACAAATCTGCTTTTATTTATTTTTTGAGTTGCCTTTTATATTACTATATTTATTTCTTTATTTTTATATATATTTTTTATTTCAAAGTATTATGGAGGTACAAATGTTTTTGGTTACATGAATCACTTTTGTAATGCTCAAGTCAAGATTAAAAGTGTGCCCATCACCTAGATAATGTTTATTGTACCTGTTAGGTATGTTTTTGCCCATTCCCTCCTTCCCCCATCCCCTGCTTGATTTCCTTTGAGATTTACTTCCCTCTATGCACAAGTGTATTCATCAGTTACTTACAATTAACAGGGAGTATATGTGGTGTTTGTTTTTCCATTCTTTAGATACTTCAACTTAGGGTAATGGTCTCCAGTTCCATCCAAATTATTACAAAAGGCATTAAGTCATCCTTCTTCGTGGCTGAGTAGTATTCCATGGTATATATATGCCACATTTTTCTAATCCATTCATGAATTGATGGACACTAGGGTTTATTTCACATCTTTGCAATTGCAAGTTGTGCTACAATAAATATTTGAGTGCATGTGTCTTTTGCACAAAATGACTTCTTTTCCTGTGGGTAAATACCCAGTAGCGGGACTGCTGAATCAAATGGTTGGTCAACTTTTAATTTTTTGAGGAATTTCCATAATGTTTTTCATAGAGGTTGTACTAATTTGCAATCTCACCAACAATGTATAAGAGTTCCTTTCTATCTGCATCCACACCGGCATCTATAGTTTTTGAACTTTTTAATAAAAGCCATTCTGATTGGTATAAGGTAATATCTCATTGTGGTTTTGATTTGCATTTCCCTGATAATTAGTGACATTGAGTATTTCTTCATATGTTTAATGGCCAATTGTATATCTTCTTTGAAGAAAGCTGCTGTTCATGTCTTTTGCCCACTTTTTAATGGGGTTGTTTGGTTTTTCTTGCTGATTTGAGTTTTTTGCAGATTCTGGTTATTAGTATTTTATCAGATGTATAGCTTCAGAATATTTTCTCCCAATCTATAGGCTGTCTATTTGCTCTGCTGATTATGTCCTTAGCTGTGCAGAAGCTTTTTAATTTAATCAAGTCCCATGTTTTTATTTTTGTTGTTGCTGTCATAGCCAGGTCTTCTTCATAAATATTTTTCGTAAGCCAATATCTAGAAGAGTTTTTCCAAAATTTTCTTTCAGAATTCTTATGATTTAACACCTTACATTTAAGTCTTTTATCCATCTAGAATTAATTTTTTCTGAGTGGTGAGAGATATGGATCCTGTTTCATTATTCTGCATGTGGCTATCCAATTTTTCCAAGCACCATTTTTTGAATAGGGATTCTTTTCCCCAGTGTTTATTATTGTCTGCTTTGTCAAAGATCAGTTGGCTCTATGTGGATGGTTTTATATGTGGATTCTCTGTTCTGTTCCATTGTTCTGTGTCTCCATTTTGGTGCAATTACCATGCTTTTTGGGTTACTATAGCCTTGTAATATATTTTGAAGTCTGGTAATGTGACACCTCTTGACTTGTTTCCTTTGCTTAAGATTGCTTTGGCTATTTGAGCTCTTTTCTGGTTCCACACAAAGTGGAGAATTATTTTTACTAGATCTGCAAAAATGACATTGGTATTTTGATGGGGATTGCATTGAATCTTTCAATTACTTTGGGTAGTATGGACATTTTAACAATGTTGATTCTGTTGATCCATGAGCATGATAGATTTTTCCACTTGTTTGTATCATGTGTGATTTCTTTCCTCAGTGTTTCATACTTCTCTTTGTAGAGCTCTTTCACCTCCTTGGTTAAGTATATTCTTAGGTATTTTATATTCTTTGTAGCAATTTTGAATGGTATTGTGTCTTTTATTTGACTCTCTGCTTGACTGTTATTGGTGTAGCGGAATGCTACTGATTTGTGTACATTGATTTTGTAACCTGAGATTTTTCTAAACTTTTGCTAAACTTATTTATCACTTCCAGGAGTTTTTTGGTGGAATCTTTGTAGTTTACTAGATATAAGATATATTATCCGCAAAAAGTGATAGTTTGACTTCCTCTTTCCTGATTTGTATACCCTTAATGTCCTTCTCTTACCTGATTGCTCTGGCTAGAGCTTCCAGCACTGTGTTGAATAGAAGTGGTGATGATGGACATCCTTGTCTTGTTCCAGTTGTAAGTGGAAATGCTTTCAACTTTTCCCCTTTCAGTATGATGCTGGCTGTGAGTTTGTCATGTATGGCTTTTATAATTTTTAGATATGTTCCTTCTATGTCTAATTTTTTGAGGGTTTTTATCACAAAAGGGTGCTGAATTTTGTTGAATCATTTCTGCGTCTATTGAGATGATAATATGATCTTCATTTTGATTCTGTTTAAGTGGTGATTCACATTTATCGATTTATGTATGTTGAATCAGGTTTACATTCCTGGGATGAAGCCCACTTGGTCATGGTGGATTTTTTTTTTGATATGCTGTTGAATTTGGTATGCTACTATTTTATCAAGGATTTTTGCATCTATATTCATAAGGGGTATTAATATTTGGCTGTAGTTTTCTTTTTTTGTTGTTGTTTCCTTTCCTGACTTTGATATCAAGTTGATACTGTCTTGATAAAATGAGTAGGGGAGGATTCCCTCCTTCTCAATATTATGAAAAAAAATTCTGCAGAATGGGAACTCTTTTGTGTAGGTCTGGGAAAATTTAGCAGTGACTCCATCTGGTCCAGGAATTATTTGTTGGAAGATTTT